GAGAGCTCAGTGCAAACCACGGCCTATATGGCAAGGATCTTCCCACCAACAATTCAATGTCCACCGAGCACGTCCTTCCGAATCTAAAGGAAACCCAATGAAAAGGAGCCCATTTCTGCTCCTGTTCAAGGAATTTGGGACAGAACACTCTGGCATCTATATGCAAAAGTAGGAGGAACGGGACGCACCTCAACACGGACTAAAAATGACCCCATCACAGCCTATCATTGTGCGTTACCTGAGAGCTATAGGGATGGTGCGCTCTCTGTCCCTTCGTTTGGAAACTGTCAGTTGGAATTATTCTGGATAGCTGGCGAAACAGCACTTTCTAAGTGCAATTATTTCTCGGGAATGATTTAAGCAAATTTATTTCCTTTCAATAGGAATGTACCACATTCGTTAAAATATGAAACAGACGGTTGTGCATTCCTAGTCGTTTCATGAGATTCAAGCATGAAAGTATTGGATTCTAAGGCAGAAAAAAGGCGAGGTATGGTATTGTCTGAAATATAAAAAATGTGATTTCATACATAGGGCGTTGGACCCGACGCTCATTTCTGTAAGCTAGAGAACTTCTGTGAGCTAACCATCTCTCCGATGAATCTTGTACGGTCTACACCGTGACGTTAATTATATTCCGGATCTAATGCTGCCAAGGATGACGAATCGCTATGAATTTTCAGTGAGACAAGTAAAAATATAGAGAATGCATGAAAGTTCAGTGATACTCCCGGAAGTGGAAGTGTCCCATTATCGTTCACAAAAATTGCAATATACATTAAAGGCTTTTTGATACTGACTGACGATTGAATCAAAATTCTAGTGACCTTCTGCACCAAGTCCTACGTGTACTATACCATGTAATTGTTTATAAATACCATCAGTATTTCTATAGTGATGTTATGGTTCATCTAGCAATATATTATTTAGTGCGTAGGCGGTCTTCTCGACTTGAAGGGATTTTCATGAAGATTCGTTATTTATTTATTCTATAATGCATAATTATACATCAACGTTTAGGGGAAAGACATAAGTTAGTACCACAAATCGAATCGTACAGGAAAGATTTCTTCCTCTGATCGCAAGAATCGGGGCCGTTGATGGGCTGAGCCGGGAAGCCTCGACGGCGGAGACGGCACCGGTGCTCGTTCATCCTGGAAGCGAAGAAGTCCGCGTCTTGCGCCTCCCTCGGGGACCACAGCCGTTCCGCTGCAGCCGATCCTCGCGGCCACAGTCGAGAATGGAGGTTCGTCTCGTCCACGAATTCTCCCCACAGACAGACTTCTCCACCGAGGACGAGCATCTTCTGGGCAGTGTTGCCTGGGAAGTTCTCCGGGTCGCACTTGTAGTAGTTCTCCCAGTCCGTCCCGTAGGAGATGTAGTCGAGGTACCAGCAAGACGAAAGCAGTGCTGCATTCCCAGCGTTTGTCACCTGAAATCAAAGAAAGAAAATCAATGCTTTCCTTTATCTTGACTGGCACAGGAATTTTTTCCCCCACTTTTTTCCCCGCGTGAAGGAAATATCTCCCAGAGGCTTAAGAAAAGCATTTGCAGATTCCAAAAGCCGCAAAAACACACATCTGTCGAAACCTGACAATTCCTCCCTCTCACCTTTGCCAATTCCGTCTCCCAGTTTCCCTTCCAGACGTGAACGACGGCGTCGGGACTCAACCGAACTTCGTTGTCGAAAACGTCCTGCCATACCAAGTAGTTTTTCTTCTCGGACGATACGCCGTCGAGGAGCTTGACGAGCCTGTTCATGTAGTAGGCCTGCAGACCCTCGAAGCTCGAGATGTTCTGCCGCGTCATGAAATCCCAAATATCGCCATTCATTTTCCTTAAGGGAAAGAGGGAACGGAATTAGGAACGAATTCGTGCACTCCATTTCCCTTCCCTTTCTCTCATTAATCATCGCGCGATGGAAATTCCCATAGGATTTTTCCATGCTCATTACCATTAAATTAACACTAGACGGCAGTATTCTGGATGGGTTCTGATTTCAGGAAAAATGAGACGATGCAATGCAACTCGCCTGAAAGTCAAGAAAAAAGTGCAAAACGCTCATCATCTGCAAGGAAAGAGGTTCGGATGGAAGCGGTCTTGGCTTTTTGAATCCCTACGACGTTTTAGAGTGACCTGAAAATTTTTGACGAAACTCCTATCTTCCCGGATACGCGGGAGTGCCGATCAGGAAGTCCAGGACGACACATCATATTGCTACACTATTCGATTAATTTCGGTTTTCGTGTGATCGCCTTCTCCTTGACTCTCCATGCACTTTCCCCAACGTTTCTACAAAGACCGGGGAACCTCCTGGAAGCCATTATTTCTAACCTCGAGGACATCAGCATCCTTGAAATGGCGGCCTTTCGGGAGACTCTTCGTCTTCGGGAGGAACACGAAATCACACGGATGCGAGTCCTTCGCTGAAATTTGTGTGATAACAGCGCCATTCCACGACTGATGACGAATTTCCTGACGTGTTTTGATTTGCCGCACCGCGCATTGTCACGCTGGTGATACACGTGCGATGTCTGAATGGTTTTGGACGTTCGCGGGTGACATCAGAGATGAATCGTAAGAGAACGTCCCCATAGAGAGCAGCATTCGCAGTTTCTCTCCGAGGAACTGATTCGTATTTGACAATGCATTAGGCAGTAAGGAAACTGGGAGCATCAACTTCTCACGGGAAACGTGGGAAATCGATGACCTAATATCGAATTGATATTGGCGGTTTTGCCGTGTTTTTGGTAGCGTTTGTTAGTCGTACGTGGCTCTAGAGACTTCGATGCAATTGACAAGCGTTCAATCCATTTCCTTCACATAAGCGCCTCATTCATTGAATGAATCCTTTGCTTACTAAGGGACATTGGGAATCCAGCCAGGCGACATCCCGCCACTCACCAGCAGAGGAAATCCACTTCGTCACCCCCGAGATGCAGAAATCGGTCCGGGAAGGTCTCGAGGACCTCCCCGAAGAATTTGCGGAGGAAGGCGTAGTTCTCCTCGCGGCTGGGGTCGATGGGCCCGTACTCCGGCAAGTCCAAGAACATCTTCCATACGCTCGCTCCCCGGCAGGCGGTGAGCAATCCCGGCAAGGCCCTTCCCCACGACTGCATATGGCCTGATGGAGAAAACAAACGAGAGGCTCATTCTCCGTTTTTTCAATTCTCGTTTTAGCTCTAAGCATAACGGTTCACAATACTCTTTATAATGGTGAACACACTCGGAAAAAAGATTGCATACTTTCTTCGCTGTAGTTGTGAACGAAATTTATTTTCGTTGGGGCAGGGCAAGGTATTACTGACCGGGCGTGTCGAATTCTGGCACAACTCTGATTCCCCGTAATCTTGCATATTCCAAGATTTCCTTGACGTCCTTCCTCCTGTAGACTCGGTCCGGCGCATACGACCCGTTCTTACTGAAATACAAATTCAAATTTAGTTTTTTTCTATGCGAATTTTTACTTACGCGCTGATGGATTTTATGAGGACCTGAGGAAGGGGAATCGGGCGGATTCGTAGGGGAAAGAGTGGTCGTCGACGATGTGCCAGTGAAAGACGTTGAGCTTGTGCATCGCCATCAGGTCCAGCGTCTCGAAGATGGTCGTCTTGGGCAGGAAATGGCGGGAAGTGTCCAGGAGCAAGCCTCTCCAGGCGTAGCGGGGCCAGTCCGAGATGGAAGTCGTGTTCACTAGGAACTGAGGAACGGAAGGGTGAGCAACGGGTGAGAGACGGGTGAGGGAGAGTGGACTGTGATTTACTCTTTCCTGCAGCCAAGTAGCTGTTATGAAACAGATGCGATCATCTCTTGTCATTCGTGTTGCTACGACTTGCTGGAAAAAACTCCCCGCGGTTTTCGCTCCTTAAACAATTACCAGTTACCAGGAAGGAGCAGAATAGTGCCCCCACATGCCAAAAATAGATACAGTCCCGTAAAGTTAGCAAAGTGCGAAATTTTCGACCATCCCTGGAATTACCACTCTGCGACTTGGGGGGGGGTGAGATCTCTAGCTGAAAATGATGCATCACTTTTTGCTGGGACATTGTCTCGCTCGGGGGTATCGTGATTAACGCAGTCTTTCTTGGTACACCATTTTTTTAATTGATGACATTTTTGACAATATTTGCAAAATTAGCAATATTGTCACATTGTCAGCATGATAATCGCATTTGTTTGCCAATATAACAAATTATGGTAAATTTCCATGAGACTGGGTTCCTTTGTTTTTGGGAAAATGCTTGGAACAAATCTGAGATACTGGATGCTTTTGCCCATTAATGACTGTAACCCCACTGGGGGGGGGGGAGGTTCATTTTTCCGCGCTCACCTGGCAGTCGTAGTAAACGATCTGGCTGAAGGTCTCGAGTCCGCGGAGGATGCCCCAGATGCTCGATGCCGAGAGGGTCGCTCCGCCCTTCGACTCCGTGCTCACCTTCAACGTGTCTGGAGACGAAAAAAGACACGAATTGAAGAGGTTGGACGAGATCTGATTGAAATGTTGAAAGAGATTCACCGACATTGCTCGTCCATATGCATTGAAGGCCATTTTTCGCACGGTGAGCGGAGGCGGATGCGGAGCTGGCTCAGGCATTCGCCCGGGTCGCAGTCTCGCCTCGTCCCCCCGCAGGCTTTCAGCTTCGCCGGCTCGAACGTGAGCGCCTCGTACCGCCTCACCGCCTCCTCCAGGATGTCGCACGTGTTCCCCTCGATCCCGAACCGGAAGCGCGCCGCGTCGACCCGCAAAACGGCGCCGGAACTCTCGTACACCGCCGGTAGTGGCAGGGGCGCCCCCCGTGACGCGCCGTGTGTTGCCCCAAATCCATTATTCCGGAAAACCGGCCCAAAATAATGGGCTTGCACTCGTAAGGCCGCCAACCCAATGGCGACCGCCAACGTAGCCAGCATCTTGAAAATCTACGCGAGACCAAATGCAAAAACTCGTGTCCACTGCCATTATCCGTTTCTAGGTTTCATTCATTATTGCTAGTTCGCGAATTTGTAGATATTTTAGAGCAAGACGGTATCATCCACATATTTGCATAAAAAGACGATATCCACACAACAGAAATACGATATGTTCACGGAAAGCATAGGCTTGTTGCCCATCATTTCCCCAATACTTAAAGGTTCCAGGTTGTAGGAATAGGCATGAATAGATTTCCAAAGAATATGAGACACCTTCATACACGACCTTCACGCGCATCTTAATGAACTGGCTGGTGCGCTGGTAATGTAGTATTAAGACATAGGAAGCATGCATTCAGTCGTTCCTGCGATGATAATAAAATGGTTACTAAATATTCCAATAATTGCTAATATCCCAATAATTCCTAATATGTCATTCCTCTGTCCCATGGACCAGACCTGTGGTACTGTTGATTGGACGCCAGAATTTAGCGTTTCATAGAGAACTCACCTTGAGCATTACAAAGCCTGCCACGAATGCGAAATTGTCTTGACTGTGAAATTTATATAACAATTTTAGATGACATATTTTTCTTAAAAGAAAAAGGACGCAGTTTGTTCACTATAAAAAGGCAGGAAGTTAGGAAATTCGCGATCCGCGGTGAAATTTCTCGTGACATCCGCCAATTTCGCAACTTAAAAAAAAATTCAATTTCAGCCCATCTTCAGCAATTCGGCATTGCTTTCAGTCATCAGTTTCCGAGAAGCTCAGGTGAGACAACTTCCAAATCGGGTGAAACAACTCCCAAATCAGCGGCAAAAACTCCCGAATTAACTGAAATAACTCCTGAATCAGCTGAGCCAACTTCCGACTGAGCTCCGGGTGATTCACTATTTTCTTCGTTTGATCGTCACTGCCGAGTACTCTCTTCGCTCCACATGGAACGATTCCCGATTCCATTATCGCCTATCACTTCCGCATCGCCTTGAAATTGTTAATCGCGCACTTCCCGCAGATTCTTGATCCGTAAAGACTTTTCCACTATAAATCTACACGAAAAAAAAACAGATTTCCCCCCGCCTCCACAGAACCGGTCTCGACGACCGTCACCGAAGGACTCCCTGGGAATCCATTGTAATAGCACGGCTACCCACTGACCCAGTTCACGCGGGGCATGGGGGACATGGGGGGGGGGGGGGGGGGGGGGGGGATCTGACCCAGTTCACGCGGGGCATGGGGGACATGGGGGGGGGGGGGGGGGAGGAGCGGAGGCGAAGTTGTTTCCATTCCGGACCGGTTCTCTCCCCCTTTTCCCCTCATTAGCTTGTCTATCGTGATTCCTTTCCTGCTGTCGTGGGAATTATACAAGGTTCGACCCTGAAAACCGAAAGTAGGAAGACGTTCGCCACTTTCGTCACGGGGATGAATGATTAACGATAAAGAACCGCACAACAGTAAAGAATAATTTATATAAATAGCAAAATAATTCCATTTTCCGGGATACATATTTTGTACTACTTGATAAATAAATAAATAATAACTATAGTACATTAAAAAAAAAATACATTTAATTTTACTTCGTAAAATGTCTGTGAGCGCTTATGTTTCTCGAGAGAACTGTATTGCAGTCACGGATTTCCGACGCGGAAGGGGTTGAAGCCGTCGACGATATTTGCAGAAATGTGAGGGAAATGCTTTGGAATAATAAATAAAATTTCGCGCACAAACCGATGAACCGTCATGGAGACTCGAAGTCGCACGTTATCCGCTTGATAGCCTCGTTCGGAGATTTTGGAATATTTGCAAGGTGAAAAGGAAATTTGGCAGAGCTTCTGGATTTGTGCGCTTCGCGATGACTCGAGATGAAACGTAGAATTGATTTTTTATTTACAGGATGACTCAATCCACCCCCGCTATTGGAAGATGGGTTCAGTGATTTCCTTTCCTGGCACTAAGGAAGTCCTTTAATGGCCTGTAATGGTCTTTAATGGTCTGTAATGGCCGACAAAAGAGTTTAATCGGGCCTATGTAGTGCTTTTTGGCAAGAAAATAATTGCTTCCATGGAATTCGAATCGGGGAGGAGGGGGGAAGGAGGGTGGAAGGAGGAGAAGGGGAAGTGTCATTGGAAAAATGGAGCGCATTTATGATAGGTGGGATAAATTCCATGAATAAAATATGCTTGCGCACGGGAGCGCTGGCAGCAAGGCAGATGCGAAACGCACCAGCACAATTGGCAACATTTTCGCAACTCTCCTGGCAACCCCTATACCCTTATCCACTCATCATGGATGCACTGTTTTTTTTTTAAAGTATTTTCCTTCTGATTTGCGCGAAACGTAGCGTCGAACCTCAGGAGAAGCAGGACAAAAAAATTAGGGGCAGATTTTGATCGAGGCGATTTGAAGGATTAAGATGAAGACAGCTTGACACAAGGGTTTACGCGGACTTAGAGAGCGTGGGATAACCAGTGAAATGAAATATTTTTCATGCTTCATAAGAAAAAATATTTTTATTTTGCTCGAAAAAAATTAATATTATTATTTCTCACTAATAAATAAAATAATGTCGCTCAACAATATATAGAGAACTTTTCACGCTCGGGAATAAAAAATAACATATTTTACATTCTCACCAATAAATAGATTACTTTTCCCGTTCAACAATGAGTCATAATTCGAGACAAAATAGAAATGGAGTCACAACGTCTCAACTTCTAGCAAAGCCCAATGCGAAAAAAAAATCTGATAAAAATTCAGAGGCACGCATTACGTTTGCGTGGCTGATGCTGATGCTGATGCTGATGACCTCAGAGTCAGCAGACACCCGACCAGGAGAGGAGCAAGGTCCACAACGGGTCGCAGTCTGGGGGCGACCTGCGGCATGAGGAAAATGCAAAATTAAGAAATACAGAAGGAAATGTTTAGTTGAATTAAATTTTAAAATGATCGTATTTCGAATTTTGATCGTTTTTTTCTATGAGAACACATTTTACTAAATTTAAGTTGTCAGGCAAAATTTATTTATATTTATTTATACAATAATTATCATGAATAATATCATTATGCATGGAATAACGTTTCACGATCTTGCTTTCTCGATTTCTCATTTTTCATTCGCGATTTCTCCTCCCGTCCGAATCAACTGAAATGAACTTGGCAACCATGCCAAGGGACAACAATGAACTTGGCAACTCTGGTAAGCGGCAACAAGAATGTGGCGACTGTGGGACAGGTCCGGCGGGTGGAATGAGACATGTTTCTTTCCATGGAAAGAGAAACATGTCACGTTGCTCTCCTGCATGCATTGGCCGGTTTCTGCAGCGATAGAGAGGGAAATATTGACTGAGATTCCATCGGGCTGGTACTCGTATCTACTTGACCGAGAGCAAGCACTCGAATCTGTGATGAACAGGTCAATGTATCCCTGATGGGAACAGTGGATTTCTCGAGGGGGGAGAGGGAGGGAGGGAGGGAAGGAGGGCGGGAGGAGAGGGTTCTGTGGTGTCATGATTCTGTGTGCATTGATTTCGGATTAATTAATTAGATTAACCGGCTCGCTTCCAAATGAGGAAAAGAAATAGGGGGAAAATGATTGCAGTAGGTGTAGGAGAACGTCGATGAGAAATGGAGAGAAGTCGAGAGGGGTGACAACCAAATAACATTATCTTGGTGGTATACTTTTTTTAAAATGAAGTTATTGAAACAAATGATAGGTAAACATCGTGAAATATGGTGCACTGATAGTGTAATTAAATTTTAAATTTTAAATAAATTAATATTTACAAATGTAAAATTCTTAAATTGGAAAAATCTGAAAATGAAATGAGATTATACATAAATTTACCAATAATACATAAATATACCAATGAGGAAGATGACTCCAAGAGCCTCGCCTGCAGACGTCGGGACCCTCCCACCAGGCTCGGAGTCCCGATCGGGACCGGACGTGGACGCCGTCCGGGACGTCGTCCCGGGCGTGGAGCGCGGCGCAGAGCCGGCAGAAGAACCGGGTGTCGACGAACTCCCCGGTCCCCCTCCACCGGAAGTACCGGTTGTACCGGGAGTCGTCCCGGTCCAGCTCGTGGAGGAAGGCGGCCAGCTCCGCCGGCGACGTGAAGTTGTCCACGTGCAGATAGGAGTCCTCCGGCGCCGCCTTCTTGTAGTCTTCTGGGGGTGCGCCCATCGCGATGGGCAAGATGTCGTTTCTGTAAGAGTTGAGAAATTGATCAGGCAGGTAATTAGAAAAATTAATTAGAATGGAATGTGAGAAAGTCCACATCCAATTTAAAAAAAAAGATCCAAGGCTTACTGCCCTGGTCATCGTGTGATGAGACTCTTAATCTCTTTAGCCGTGTTCAGCCGGTTATTTCGCTTTAATTTCTTTCCTTTCTTCTGATTGTCCGTAGCCCTGAGCAAAGCGAGGAGTTTCTCATTCAGTCTTCGTGTGTCTTTGCAGGCTAGTCCACAAAAGAAGTTCCTGGAATAACGACGATTGAAAAAGAAGAGGCGAGAACAAAGGCAGGAGGCCCCCGCGCATCCATGTGGGATGTGGTCACTCGCGCATCCATGGGGGACGTGGTCACCGGCGGATTCCTTAGATAGAAATCCCTGGTAGGGGAGCCAGTCTAGCGTGTTTTCCCACAGTGTTATCCAAGCTTTGGCATTATCGAGATTCCGTTACAGTGACCGTTTGCATGCATTCTCAAAGGCATGAATCGCATCGCAATACAGTATTTTCGCATTTTTTGTCGGTAAGAACAATCATTTCGTACCATAACCAGCACATGCCCTTTCCTGGTTTCCAAGACATAATTTAGAAGGAATAGACACATAATGGACCAGGAACATAATGGAATCCAAAGAGAAATTTCCGACTAATTTCACAAACATTTTCCCTTACGAAATGCAAAATGTCGAATATTCATTTAAAAAAAAACCGGATGGGAACTCACCCGAGCCCGTTCACGAAGAACTTCTCCGTGATGTAGTCCTTGCAGTTGGAATTCTCGAAGGCCAGGTAGAACTTGTAGTCCCTGGCGAGCATGCGGAAGCAGTCCTCGTCGGAGCGAGGGCATTCGAGGTCGCCGCATTCGCCGTAGACGTCGACGTCGATGTGCCTCGCGAGTTCGAGGGCGTATTGAGTGCGGTGGTTGTGGGCGTAGCAGTTCGAGACGAACCAGGCCATTTTCTTCGTCTTTCCTGCGGCGTAGTTCCGAGTCTGGGCCTTGAATTTCACCTCGGGGTCGTAGTAGACCCATTTCTCGTAGGGGGTGACGATGTCGCTGTCGCGTCTGTAAGAGGCGGTCCAGTCGATGTCGGTCCAGCCGGAGAATTCGGTGTTGAGGGGACTCTCCAATAGATACGCGATCCAGAGCTGGCCCGGTGAGCGGTGGAGGTTCGTTATTTTCGGGGTGGACTGAGAGCGGTGGAGGTTTGTTATTTTCGGGGTGGATTCCTTGAAGAGCACGGCGTCTGCGGCCTCGGTATTCTCCTTCGTCAGTCGGCATGCGTCCACGGGGCATCGCTGATGCAAGAAGTGATCCCGTCCGAGTCGGACGTCGGGCCAGGTGCCGTCGTATAAGAGGATGGTCTTCAGCTTCGTCGGGCCCTCTTTGGCGTCGTGTTTCTTGGAATACATGAGTTGGTTCAGGATTCGGTCGTCTTCGCGTCCCTCAGATGGGATAAGGGATCGGGCACTGACGGCTCCGGGGAAGGGCCTCATCGACCCTCGTTTGAAGAACCACAACTTTCCGGAATTGTTCAATTCATTGTCAAATACATTTTTCAATATATTCCATTCCTCATCTGAGGAATTGTTCAATGATTCCTTTCCAAAAAATGTCTGCGGAATGATTAATTCCGTATCACCAAAACTAGAATCAGCCTGGCTATGTGAAGATCCCAGTGAGTCTTTCGTCAAGGGCTTTCTCTCCTGAAAGCCAGCATGTCTCATACTGGCGCCTTCAAGCGTCACCATCTCCTGCGAGGCCTCCCGAACCTCACGGCCGCACAGGACCAGAAACAGGACGCCCGCCGCCCCCATCAGGGTAATAAGGGCACTCTTCGGATGCATTCGGGGCATCGTCCCTTTCGGCCTTCCAGGCCTTTCAACCTTTCCAGGCCTTTCAACCTTCCAGGCCTTTCAACCTTTCGAGGCCTTTCAACCTTCCAGGCCTTTCAACCTTCCAGGCCTTTCAACCTTCCAGGCCTTTCAACCTTCCAGGCCTTTCAACCTTCCAGGCCTTTCAACCTTCCAGGCCTTTCGCCTTTGCAGGTCGCTTCAACTTCTTAGAATCACTTCCCAGCTTAACGTGGAGGAAACTGTTTTCTCATTGAAGACGTCGAGAATTTCTCTTCCGTCTCTGTTTCTCTTCCCGGTCGCTCTTCTGAGTACTTTTGCGACTTCTGGAAGAAACTTTTGAGTTGCAGACGGTGACACGCGGCGCTTTCTCCCCGATAGCTTCACTGAAAAAAGGCTTGAAATTCACCTGCTTCATATTGATGAACTTACATTATCGACTACCTAAAAATTTATTTAAAATACATTTTTTCCTCTAAAATTTTCCCCCCATGGTTTCGATGTTTTTGGGAGACATGTATGGTATTTGTTTCATGGTCATGATTTGGTTGCGGTAATGTGGAAGGCGGCTTATGCGCGAGAACGTTTCCGAAAAATTGAGACTGCTGACAGCAGTACTCCGTCCCAGCTTCACGCACTCGTAGAGAAAAAGGTTTTTGTACGTTTTCCAGTAAAGATTTCGGCTTCGGGTCGAATTTTGATGATATTATTGCGCATTGGCGCCTTATCGAACGTCGGCTGACTGATTCGTGTGCCACAGAATTTATTCGCGCTTTCGGTGGGACTTCTACGACCTAAAGCTTAACTCCCAGGATTATCGGTCAATACAAATTATCGAAAATTGTTTGTGTTCGATGTTTGCACGCAAAATCCAGCCATTGGGCCTCATTTGAATGTTTGTCCAAATGTCTTCGTTCGTGACGAAAATGTTTGTGAAAAGGTTGTCTGGTGCTTTCGCTGGACGGAAGGCTGCATTATGAAACTTGGTTTGGAAAATAATTGTTAAAGAACAATTTAAAATTGAAATTAAAAATGTTAGGCGATATGACATTAAAGAAGATACATGGGAAAGAAGCTGGTTGCAAAGAAAAAAGCATATGTAGACCAACTAATTCAGCAATTTTTCCTTGAGGAAAATGAGAGAATATGGTGTTCAAAGTTTGATATATTACCGCATTGAAAATACATTGAAGTCTATCGAGCTAATCAGCATAAACTACTTAAAAGCGAAGCTGAATCTCACAAATAGCACAATATTATGCGTCAACATAGGTCCTAAATTAGCACAACATCTGGCAAAATGGGAGATTTGGTCCCGGTCTGGGCGAAGAAGGTCGACCTGCACGTCGAAACCACTGGACTAATTCACCTTGGAGATGTAGATGGACCACAGAGAAAAAACAGCGAATGACTGATGAAGGAAGAGAGCGATGGCCAAAGCGAGAACCGGAGCAATTAAGAGCACCGCCCTCCATTCGAGGAGAATGGAGTTTCCCAGAGAGATTCCCAGCTGGGGAAGGGTCTTCGCTCGTGTGCGGCCGCTTGAAAGGGCCGATGCCGAGAAGATTCCCCGTTTCTCTGGAGAGATACCGATCTCTTCCTGCAATTCATGCTTTTTTTTGTCTATGTCGAACGATAGCGACGCGTGCGGTCTCTTCGTGCCGGCTGAGTTACGAGGAGAACTTGATATGTCATATCAATTTAAAAAAAAGCTCTTAAAATGATTTCATTAAAGGTTACGATCGGATTTTCGATTCCGACGTCAATGTACCTTACAAAAATTTTCAATAGGATCCCTAAAGAAAGCCCTACACAGCTTACTTACGCTTCTCCTAGAAGGCATATATTTTTCGGATATGATCCAATGAAGATCCTACAGAACCTTTTCGTAAGGGATGAAAATCTTTTCGGTATGAATATCGTCAAAACGAACATATTCTGTCCTTCGTCCATAACAATATCCTTACCCTGATTCCACCCGACTGTAGCCACATTTCTATACAGTTGTTTGGATACCATGTTTGCATCCTACTTCTGCATATCATATTTGCTAATTAATTTGTGTTTACAGTATTCAAAAATAAACAAAATTCACGTAGTAAATGATTCACTTGCTGCCGTCGGACAGCGAAAATATGAGGCACAAACGGACACAGAAACACACGGGCGCGCAGTTGGTACCAAGAGCTCTCCACTTCCCTGCAGGGAAGGAGGTCCGTTAAGGAGGCCCACGATTTTGAAACTGGTTTTTTCATTCGGCCACGATATTCGTTATTATACCCCTGCCTCATTCCACATCGGGAATTTTTTTTTAAATGCAAGTAGGACAATTTGAGAGAAAAAATTCCACACTCCACGTGGGAAGGCTTGGATGAGAGCGACCGGATCGTCTTTAACTGACCTGTCCATCCGAAGGAGCGGTCCATCAGTGGGACCTGTCCGTTGGAGGGCATGCTCAGAAGGTCTTAATTCAAAATTCAAGATAGTGATATCAAGAGGCGATTTAGCCCATTTCGATATCACATGTCGAGGTCAAGCGTTCCTTAATTTTAAGGTAGAGAAATACATGCCCAAAAAGTTTTAATATTAATATTGTGCCCTTTTCGCTGGTGAAAAAACATGTTTGGAAAAGCCGTCCCACCCAAACGCCATGCCCGGGGGGGATGCACCTAGAAAGCTGAATACTCCCTCAGCCCAATAATATCATGTCACTTATACGTGTGCCAAGTTTCACCTTTCTATTTCTGTCCCATTCGCCACGACAATTTTTTTTTTCAAAACATTTTCGTCACGAACGAAGACATTTGGACAAACATTCAAATGAGGCCCAATGGCTGGATTTTGCGTGCAAACATCGAACACAAACAATTTTCGATAATTTGTATTG